CAGGAGAGAAATCTTGTCAGTGTAATGAGTGTGGAAAATTTTTTTACCGTAAATCAGACCTTGCTAAACATCAGCGATCACACACTGGGGAGAAACCCTATGAATGTAATATCTGTGGAAAAACTTTCTCACAGAAGTCAAACCTCATTGTGCATCAGAGAACACATACAGGGGGGAAATCTGTATTTTAATCATTTTTGATTAAAATGAATAGAAATATGGAGCCACAATTCAGTATCCATTATACCTCAAAGAACTTATACTGTGGAGATGTCTTTTTAACATTCTGAACCTTTATCTACAAACAGGCCTTATTTTACTACAAGACAATGACACAGGGCCCTCCATGGTGGCACAATGGGTTAAAGTGAAGCACTGTGAAGCTGTCAGCCACTGCAGCATGAGTTCAATCCCCAGCCAGAGAGTGAACCACATAGGGGGCAGACTTCTCTTGAAACACCCACTGCTCCCCTCAGCAGTGTATTTCAGTCGGTCAGTGTGTTGTGCTCCCCACTCTATCTCTGGTAAATCCATACATCTGGCCTGTACCCCAGTTCTTGTATGCATAAATAAATAAATCTTAAAAAAAAAAAAAAGATACAGGAAAACCTACAGACTGCCACAAGAAGTCAGTTGTGTCAAGAAGTAGCATCCTATTAACTGAATGTCAGGTAGCTAATTTGACTATGTAAGACCTCAAGGGTTTTTTGATTATGTACAAGTTTTTAGCAAAAATGCAAACTAGGTTACATCAGAATATACGTTGAGATATTAGTCAATTTGAGACATAGCTTGATTTACCAAAAAAAAAAAAAAAACCTACCATTACAAGTTGCTTTGGTTTTAATACTGTTAACTACATTTAGGAAACACAACAAACTGTAATTTGTAGTTGTGTTTTGTATAATACAAAGCTTTAAAAATTGCATAGCCACGTTTGATAGTACAGCCCAGCTGTCCCACATTCAGGTAAAGACACAACTGTGGAGACTAAAATAATCTGGTGGCCAGAGATTCAGGTGGATCATAGGATGAGTAGGGGATTACAGAGAAATGTTAGGACTGTGAAACTTCTGTAGAATTCTGGGGTAGTGAATACATGTTATTCCTTTGCCAGAAACCCTTGGAATATAAACACAAAGGGTAAATTATGCCTTTACTAGTCACTAAAAATGTATCGGTCATCAGTTACCACAAACGTCCCACATCAATGCAAGGGTCTGACGATAGAGGAGACTGAATGGGGCAGAAATAAAAGGATACAGAGGAGCTACCTGTACTTTCTGGTCAGTTGTTCTGTTGCCCCCTAAACTCTTAAAAAATAAAGTGTATGAAACCAACAAACAGCCCAGCCTGCGTGCATGTAGGCGAGCCAGTGAGGTGTCTCTCACATCCTCACAGTCACATCAGTCAGTGCCAGTCTTGCTATGGTGGTGGGGAGTGCATTTTTAGAAATTGCATATTGATAACATCCAAAACAACACTTTCAGTGATTAGTTTTTTGCTTTTCTGAGCCCTAGTAACTTGTAATTATCTTAAACTTCTTACGTCTGTGCATGACATCTTAAGTGCTGAGGTTTTTGTCAGTTAAGTCTCCGCACTGAAGGTATAATCACTAATAAACACTTGGTTGCTTTTATTGTCTTCAGAATACTTAAATCAGAGTAAATGTAGCCTGTCCAGATACTCATCTACAAAACTTTGAAACGTCACGCTCAGCTCCCTGTGAAGCCAGCATCAGGAGTAAGGAAAGGAAGGTAGCAAACTGTTGACAGTATAAACCACGTACATGAGCCCTGGGACACTTTATGTTGAAGGACATAGCGGAAATGTCCGACAGAAATAGAGCACTTGTCAAAGTACATTGCTTCTGGTAACGTTCACCTTACCGAAGCTACTGATTTCTCGTAAGTCAATAAATCCTAAGTCAGTAGACTTACTTATCTGTAAAATTCCCTTTTCACACCACTTCCTAGAAGCTTCCATCCTGGCTTGACTCTCTTTGTCCAAGACACAAGATGTGTGGTGCCATTAGAGTGTTCTGCCACATGCTCTGCAGTCGGTTACTAGTGTCTTACGTAGTACAGATGAGTGTCTATGCACTACTGTGTGAAATACAAGTATAAGGCCACTAGTTAGACGCTACTGACCAATATCCAGGAATCAGACCTTGGCTGTGACAGCAGTGGGTGCCCAACAGTGGCTATCAGGGACTTTGTGCAACAGGAGTGTTTCCATGGGAACAGAGTGGCTGTGGGGCCTGCACATGAGCTCAGTGAGGACCTGTCAGCCCCAAGAGCCTGAGCCTGGGGGCAGCTTCAGGGCTCCCAGAAAGGGGCTCAGCACCAGCCTCTCTGACTCAGCTGGGCTACCTGTGAGGGACCTCTGTTCTTCCCCGGGCTCTTCTAAAGGGTGAAGCAGACCCCCTCCACAGTGTGGGGTGTGAGTAAGTTTCAGCACCAGGGCTCAGGGAGGGGCTGGCAGTGCCTGGCTGAGCCCCATTTGCATGCCAACCCCCAATGGCCAAGAGTGGACAAGAAAAGGAGGCCTGGGCAGCCCAGCCGTGTGGCCCAGGGGCTGTGAGCACCATGGCCTGGACGCCTCTCCTCGCACTGCTGTCCCTCTGCACAGGTGCCTGGATACAGGAACCAGGGGATGGGCTCTCAGAAGATGCACGAGCCCCTGATAAATCATCTAGACCCCAGATCACCATCTCCCTGTCTCCCCTCCCAGGATCCTGGGCCCAGTCTATGCAGATGAAGCCACAGTCCATCTCTGGGGCCCTGGGCAGAGGGTCACCCCTGCGCTGGGAGCGGCTCAGCGTCGGAGACGGTCACTCTGCGCAGTGGTTCCAACAGCTCCCAGGAACAGCCCCCAAGCCCCTGATCCATGGTAATGACCAATGGCCCTTTGGGGCCCCTGGCCAGTTCTCGGGCTCCAAGTCCCTGACCATCGCGGGGTTCCAGCTGGGGACGAGGCTGACTCTGCCAGACCAGTGACAGTGCCCGCCCGCACTGCAGGCCTGCGGGGAAGGGAGGCGCAAACCCCTCTGTCCTCTGCGGGAGCAGGAGCCCTGAGCTGCTGTGGAGGCTGGGCGGGACCCAGCTGCTGCTCTCTATGGGGGCCCAGCTCGCTGACCCCTGGGGCAGTGCCCCCCACCACGTCTTAACTCCACCCCTTTCCCTGCCCTCTTCATGGAGACTCAGTTCCCAGGACCGCGGCCACCTGGGACAGTGGCGGTGACAGGTATGGAGCAGCAGAGGTTGCAGACAGCCACTGTCTGGACCCACCCAGCCTTTGTCCCTCTCTGGAGCAGGACAAGTCCTCCCTCGAGGCCGTTTCTGGGCCCCTGTCCCATGGGGGTGTCAGGGAGCCCAGCACCTGAGGGCCTCCTGCATGGAGCGAGAGCAAGTGGCGCTGAGGAGGTGCAGCCCAGGAGGCGCCAGGGAACCCTCCAGGCCCTGCCTCACGGAGTGTACAGCACGAGCAGCAGAGAAGGCCGCTCCAGGGCGCCCACTGTCCAACGCTCGGCGCGCGGGGCCAGCAGGGGGCAGTGCCAGCCGACGCCGGCCCGGGGATTGGCGCCCAGCTGCGGGGGCTCTGGCTTAGCAGCTGCCCGCGGCGTCCCCGGGCCTGACGGGCGCCTTCCTGCAGAGCCCAACCGAGCCCGCCAGAGCTCCCAACCCCAGGCGAGGGGCGGGCCCGACCCAGAGGCCGGAGGGAGCGCAGATGGGTGCAGCGCGAGACGGCCGCGTCCGTGGGGGCACCGTGCGGGTGTCCCGGCCTCAGCCGGACCGTCGTCGGGGCGTCTCCGCCAGGGCCGAGCCACCCTCCGCAGGTGACCGCCGGCGCTAGGAGAATCTTCTGGGCCAACGCTGGGTTCATACCTCCTCGGGAGGGGTCTGCTGGGGTCTCGCCGAATAACTCACCCGGTGACGGCCACAGGTGTGGGAGAAACAGGAGGGAGGCCGGGCGCCGTCAAAGAGCCGCGGCAGGTGGACAGATCCCAGCAGCCGCAGGGCGGGGCGCCCCTTGTCCTCTGCCCAGTAAGGTCTGCGGGGCATGCGGGGGCGCTGGCCTGTGCCCCGGAACGCGCCTGCCCCACCCCGGCGCCCTCCACGCCTGTCCCCGCCCGGTGTCCGGGGGCACCTGTTTGCACCCCACTCTGCTCCATGAGCCCCAGCACCCCTGCGCCCCGACCTCTGCTAGCTGGTGGCGCCACAACGCCGTCCTTTTGCTTTTAAGGTTTATTTATTCATGCACACAGAACTGGGGTCCAGGCCAGAGGTGCGGGGGAGGGCTCCCCAGAGGCAGAGTGGGGAGTAGCACAGGCAGAAGGGCTGAAACACTGCTGGCAAGGAGCAGCGGGGAGACTGGAGGGATCTGCCGCGCCCTGGGGTCCCTCCCTGGCCCGGCATCGAACTCGCGCTGCAGGGCCAGGACATCTCCACAGCGCTGCGCTTTACCTGTTGGCCCAAGGAGTACCCCACAAAACCATCTTTAACGCATCTTCTCCCGGATGAAACCTTACATGGTTACTCATCAAACCCCACGTGAGAGCGAGGAGTTGGCATAACCGCGCTCGCACTGGGGGCCACACTGGGCGAGAATGGGGTCGCAGCTTGCGGGTTGGGGGGGGCCATTCCCACAGCTGCCTCAACCTGCCACAGGGCTCTGGGCAGCTGCGCCGGCGCCAGCAGGGGGCGCTGCGGGGCGCCCGCGGGCCTCTGTCCCGCTCCAGGAGCCTGAGCCGGGCTCCCTGCAGGCGGCTCCCCAGGGACAGCAGGTGCTTCCTCCCAGGGCTCTCCCAAGGGGTGAAGCAAACTTCCCCCAAGAATGGGGTAAGCTGAACTGTGGTTCCAGGGCCCAGGGAGGGGCTGGCAGTGCCTGGCTGAGCCCCATTTGCATGCCAGCCCCCCGCCCCACCCCCCATGGCTGAGGGTGGGAAGAAAAGGAGGCCTGGGCGGCCCAGACGTGTGGACTCGGGGGCTGCGCACGCCATGGCCCGGACGCCTCTCCTCCTGGCGCTGCTGTCCCTCTGCACAGGTGGGCACATCTCAGAGGTCTGACCCGTCCCACTGACCACACAACTGCCTAGGACTGACCCTCACTTGTCGTGTCTGTGCGCAGGTTCCCTTTTGCAGCCTATGCTGACCCAGCCGCCCTCCCTATCTGTGGCTCCTGTGGCCACAGCCAGACTCACCTGCACCCTGAGAAGTGACATCAACGTTGGCAGCTATGGCATATTCTGGCTTCAGCAGCAGCCAGGGCGCCCTCCCCGGTACCTCCTGTACTACAAGTCAGACTCGGATAAGGGCCAGGGCGCCGGGGTCCCCAGCCGCTTCTCTGGGGCCAAAGACACCTCAGCCAATGCAGGGGTCCTGGTCATCTCGGGGCCACAGCCAGAGGACGAGGCTGACTACTACTGTGAGCTGTCCCACGGGGGTGCTTCTCACAGTGACACACCCAGAGGGAAAGTGGAGCAGAAACCTCAGCCTGCTCCGGGCCATGACCTTGGCTTTCCCTGGTCTCACATCACCTCAACACCCCCACTGTCCTTAGGGGCGCCTCCCCGCCCCAGTGTCTGTCCTCCCGGTTTTCCGAACTCTCGGGACACACGGAAACAACAGTGCCCGACACACGGAAACAACAGTGCCGTGATGTTACAGAAACTTTGCCTCGTTATCAATGTTTTAAAATTCTGAATAAAATGATCTGGTTTGTGGAGCTGTTTGGAGTTTCCTCAAATTGCTAAACATGGAGCTTCCCTATGACTCAGCAATCCCACGCCCAGGTATCTACCCAAAATACACCGAAACAGTGATTCAAAAAGACATCTGCACCCCCATGTTTACTGCTGCTTTATTCACAATGGGAAAGATATGGAAGCAGCCCAAATGCCCAAAGTGGATGACTGGATGAAAAAGATGTGCATATACACAATGGAATATTACTCAGCAACCAAAAAGATAAACACATGCCTTTTGCAGCAACATGGATGGAGCTGGAAGGGATCATGCTGATTGAAATAAAAGGGAAAATACCAGGTGGTTTCACTCGTCGGAGGAATATAACGGACCAGGGGAGAAACTAATGATAATGATGAATAGCTATAGACCAGAGACATTTTACAGGGGTGGAGGTGGGAATGGGATCAGAAACAGTGGGGGGAGGGGAATGCACTGGACTATGGTGATGGCACAGGGTGACTTGGTGATGGGAAACCCAAGGGGATTGCAACTGAGATGGGAAAATGCACAAAAATATGTAAAAATGAACTAATATAATATTTAAAAAATAGAAGTACCATGTCCATAACATATAAAAAAAGTTACAAACTTGATTTCACCCTGGGCATCAAAATATAAAGGAAAATCCTTCAAAGCTACTTATTATCACCATATTTAATGAGTAAGAAATATTAGCACCTGCAAAAAAAAAAAAAAAAAAGATCAGGTTTTTGGGTTTGCATGTTTTTCCCTTAAATAGGCCTCAGCTTCTCTAGCAGAAACTCCCGGTCTGGCCCAGGACCAGGAGGGTGGAGGGTCCCCACGAGAACCCCAAGGACCGCCCGCCCGCCCGCAGGCACTGACCTCCAGAGTGGGGTGGGACGGGGCTGCCCCCGGGGACGGGTGAGCTCCACTGAGCCTGCAGCTGCGGGGCTGCTGACGCCCCCTCCCCTGTCTTGGGGTCTTCGGGACTCACTGCTCTCACTTGAGGGTTTTGAGGGAAGCAAGTGTGTGTTGTGCTTTCTGAAGGGGAGTGCTGGGACCCGAGGGCGGGCTTCAGTGGCCATGGTAGGTGTAAAACTAGACACGTGGGCTTTGGGGGGCCCTTGGCCTTGTGGGCTTTGGGGGGCTCTTGGCCATGTGGGCTTTGGGGGGCCTTGGCCTTGTGGGCTTTGAGGGGCCCTTGGCCTTGTG